TTTGTTTGTCGTTTGTTTGTGCACGTCTCTGTATTGTTTTCCTCTGGCAACTGTCCTTAGGCTCAAGGCCTCGATCCGAGGTGTATTGTATAGCACCAAGCAATTGTACATGAACACAAAGATGGAGTAAGTGTGCTAATGTAAAGGAGCTTGTATCTTGACATCTCTCTCTCTCTCTCTGGCTCTCTGGTGCTGAGACCAAGGTCATTGCCTACGACTCAGATGAATGGGAGGCCCGCTTTGGAGAGACATGCCGTAAGCTGGCTGAGTCGGCGCACGAGAAGTCGGAATGACGGCGATACGCCGCTCCACTCGCAGCGGAAAGTGACTAGGCACCGTAGGCACCGTGTACATCTGTCAGCAGAAAGTGCGCATGACATGACCCTCATGCGGTGCAGAAGTCACTTCGAGTAGAAGTAACTCTCCTTATTTGCGAGAGTCTCTTCCACTCGCCTCAGTTGTACTGGGGGACTCCATCTGATCGCGGAGATGCGGGCCTTGATCCGATCCAAAGGACAAGAGACGAAGGCACCAACGAGACCAATCATTAAGAATGGCCTCCAACGTAGCGATGGCCTCCAGCCTAAGAAGATGCCCTGATCTGAACTTGTACTACTAATGAAATGGCTGTTTGCTGGACACCTGCTTGAAATGGCTGTTCGCTGGACACCTGCTGGTAGTAGTACCCTGTTTGGAATCAGTTTGAAAGGAAAGGGCCCCTGTTTCAAGGCGCCCCGGCATCACACCTCGACAGATTTTGGAACCATGAGGAACAATATGGAACAATGACATCGCGGAAGTCCAAGGCGATTATTTTTTAATGGTCCGACTATAGGTGAACGAAGTGTTTAGGAATTTACTTGGTTGCGAAAGATATATCGACCTGGACTTCTAAACACTCGCGAAGAATGGCCGCACAGGCGGCACATGTGGCCGCACCTACAGGATTCGGTGCTGACGAGCCTTGTGAATCAGAATCTGGCATAGAATCTTCAGAATGCAATGACCAAGACAAGTAGACCCACCTTGCATTCCAGACCTCACTTCTTCTCTCTGCCGAATGGCTTCGCTCCGCCCTGTCCAGGGCCTTTTTATCGATCGGGCAGGGGAGACGGGCGGGTCGAGCGTGTCTGCGACACGCTGCACGCTGGTCACCTCGACACGTCCGAGGAATGAGCTTGGTCACAAAGTGATGAGGGCAGACTGCTGAGTTTGCCATGATCAAGTAAGATTCAGCTTTGGGAAATTCAGCATGGAAGAGAAATCATATCAGGTTTTTAGGGGAGCTCAAAGATTTCATGAGGCCCAAGATTTGAAGTTCCCGCTGGGTTGGTGGACAACAATCTGTATATACATGGATGACATGTGCTTTGCCCGCATACACATGATGGGTGTCATTAGGCCTGAAGTTCTTATCGCAATTCTAAAAACCACCAACTTGCAGGGAGAACGGGGCTTGTTCTGCCCGTTTGCGCTCTCGGCTTCTCACTCCTTTTTGCTGTTTCCCGTTGAGCATTGCCCACCGGCAAAGCCAATAGATTTTAATAGACCGAGGCTGCCGGCTGCGAACCCGGACACGTACCGGTTCGGACGTTGGCGCTGATCGGCCGGCCTCCCCGATGGCGCACGGAGCGCTCGGGTGAGAACGACCGATCGCTGGGATCCGACGGATCGGATGCGAACCAAGCTTCGTCTCACGAGCCGGGATCGAATTGTCTGAGACACGTCCCGCTTCTTGCTATAGCGATGGCCATTCCTAATAGGGATGGCCTCCAACCTAGTCCTGTCCTGCTTTGCAACCAACTGCCAGGTTCGGTGAATTGGGTGAAGAACACTCGATATTCCACATGACAGTCTAGGGAGGACAGAGGGCAGGTCAGGTACTTCTTGTGACTGGAGTGAAGTTTGAAATCCTCGGTCACGCCGTCGATCAGAGGGTTCGGTCCCAGGGCGTTGGCGCGCAGGGCCGGGCGTCTTAAAACGTCTGTCGACGCTTCTCTTCGTACTTTCTATTGCTTAAGCGTTGGAATACGGCCGAAAAACAGCGTTGCATGGTTGTTCCTCAATTGGCTGATGAGACGCCTCGAACCTGCTTCTGGGCTTAGACACCCAGTCAGAGACACGGGGCACTGATCTGTAACAATCGCATTGTGGGATGTAGCAGGTCGTAGTAGCTGGTCGAATGCATCGTATCGTAAAGATACGGATGACCACGCTTTTGCTGCCCTTCTTGGCTGCCACGGCCTACAAGCTGGAGCAAATGGGTTCTGTGAGTGGTTCTGAATGATTCGGTTCTTTTCATACCAAAAGCAGAGCAATTAACATAGTGAGGTGAAAGGTTATGATATGATGATTGAGTATTTTGCTTCTTTCTTTGTTCTATAATTCCAAACCCAAAGCAGAGCTGAAGGAGCGATTCTCCACCTCGGACTGTGTGGCTTGCCTTTCCGGTCGTCGGTTCGTGTCTGACGAATCGGAGGGCTGCCCTCGGTCACTTCGGAGGGCTGTCTCGGTGGTTCAATGCCTCCGAAGAGATCAATCTCAATCTGTTTCCACCGTTTGCTCTGACTTTGGTGTTCGCAGATGACCAACACAAACGTGCCAGACGAGCCTAATTCTCAGATTCTTGATTTTGCGAACATTTGCACGCCGCTTCGGGTCAATCAGAGAGTCTACCAGGTTTTTTTTTGAGGTCGGGGGAGTCCGCGCCTGGGTGCATAAGAACGCGGTGCCTCCTTCGGTTTCGGGTTCGGGTTGGGTTGGTTTTTAGGAGAGATGGACTACGCAGCGGTTGGTGATGTGGTCACAGAGATCCATTTAGGTGGGTCTTGGATGGTCTTGGGACCTTACAGTGGAGTGTGTAAGGATACTATATAAATGATATTGATACCCTCAGCCAATGGCACAACTGTTTGTGCAATTTCCTGTTGCTCAATACATGGCGAGATCAATACTTTCGAAGAGTTGGGGAGCTTTGGCAACATCAGATGAGTTTTTTGTAACAAGAAGCTACTAGGGGCAAAGGACATCGCTGCTAGGAGCGTTCGGACGCTACAAACGGGGCTCCTGGCCTTACTACGAACGGAGCAAGAAGCTACTAGCTACTTCTAGCTACTAGCTAGTACCGCTTGCTTGCCACCTTCATCGGGTGACTTGCACCGTTGCTTCCCTGGCATCTCCGTCCGATTCCCTAACATTCCAATTGTTTGAATGGTCTTTACCACACAACCGTTGCTTTGCGGATTTTGGACCTTTCTTTCGGTCTTTGAAGGCTAGGGTACTGGATTCTATTGTTTGTTGCCTCCAGATTTCTCAGGACAGCGCGTAGAACTGGTCATCCGAATTCATCGCGCTCAGAGCGAATGATCAGACACTTTAAAACGTTGAACAGTTCGGAAGGACCTGGAACTCTGTTCGTCGTGCGAGCTTCGGCAAAAAGCACCGGAAGACTCCGTTTTCACGCGGTTCGACGAGTTCGTGCAATGACAAACGACGAGTGGTCCCCGGATTCTTGCGCGAGAAGATAGATGGGTGAAATGAGTGACTTTCAGAAGCTGGATGTCATTTTTCCATTCCTGCACCTTTTACTGTAAACTTGTGTCAGGATTCCAGGCATTAACCACTGAAGAGACGAGGTGTGCAAATGGAGATCGGCTGATCTGGCAGATGCTCCACTGAGCCACGATTTCCTTCCTGCACAATCTCCGACCTCTCCTGCGGGGTTTCCAACTCTTTCGCTGGAGATGAGAGCGACATGGTGGAATTCCCCTAAGTCGCAACTGAGCCTGAAGCTCGACCCCTACTATATTGATGGTTAGGATCCATCTTCCTTGTGGTTCCGTCATGATCACTCGAGCGCCAGTTCACCCCTGGTCGCAGTTGGTCCCCCGCCCTCCCCTCTTCTGTCGCGGGGAGAGGAATCTTCGGCTCTCCGACATGGACACCTCCGGCGGAACCGGCTCCCCCGATGCAACGTCCCCGGCGCCGGCCGTTGCCAGGTGCTTTCGGATGGCCTGTCTCATGCGGTGGTCGCAGAGCTGGGTTCGGGATCTCGGCATGTCGCGGTCCATGGGGGAAGAGGAGGACATGAAGAGACATGAGGAAATAACCCACAGATCGTCCTGTGAGAAGATCTCGCCCTTTGAGCTGGGATGATTCTTGAAGCAAAAGACTTGTGGTGAACTGACTTCCAACTCGATCCATGTTTTGTCCTTATGCTCTTTGTGGCTTTTGAGAGACCTAGGTCCGCAAAGAATGAAGAGTTCATTTTTCCATGGTATCTGCAGACTGTGCACCCTGATTTCTAGAACCCTCCACTGCCAGAATGCGCAGCTGTGAGGAAGTCTCAGCGGTTTTGGGATCGGATTTCTTAAGTCTCAAAGGCCGAAAGTCTTTTTCTCCGTTTGGACCTGACCTCTAAAGAGGAGAATTCTTTACTTTGAGCAACCCCCGCCAGCGGTGCTGCTCACGCGGCTTTTCTATCTTTTTTGTTGCAGGCTGAACAGAATAACTCGTGCATCAACCTTGTGTATTTGGAGAATTTGGACTCTCGTTGCTGAAAATTGATTTCTCTCAAACATGGGATAGCCGGATAGCGGATAATTATGTAAAATAGTGTCAAACATCTCACGAGCGATGGGTCAATTCTGACATCGGACCACATGATTGGTTTTTTTTGTGAGTTCTCCACCAAAACCCATCTGATGTCGTGGGTGCGGATGCGGCGGAGCAGGTCAATGCCTGGCGCAATGGCGGAAGCCGCGTTTGCAGCCGTTGATCCAACAGCGGAGGGATCTGCTGGAGAAGAGGCGACAGCGGGCGAAAGCGGCGAAGTTAAGGCGCTAATCATTAGTGGTATGCAGCCTTCACCACACTGGTTGCACCCCAAACATCTTAAAGACCTACCCAGGAAGTACGTGGATAGCCTTTACTGTAAGCTAAGTAGGCTCAAGCTGTTCTTGACCAATTCTTCTCCCGGAAACAAAATGATTCGACACGAGGCTCCTACTTCATCAGGAGCTGCGGGGTGATCAAGATCCTCAGGTGGCTGGGCACAGTGCGGTCGACCGTCGACCAAACAGGAGGGGCAGATGGCAGACGATGGACACGGCAGGGCTAATTAGCCATTGGCTGTTTAGATCTGGGAAATCTGTACACTGGGGGGTCGTTTAGCAGGGGCTTTAAAGACAACAGAAGGGGTAGGCACCCACTTCACGAATTCCTAGTGCACAGGCTCATTTGCACAGAGTCATGTAATTACAGGATAGGAGGTTGAATCAAGCACTTTCATCCCTTGATGCTGTCGATTCCAACTATCCTCAGGTTGAGATTGCGGCCCTAGAAACCATGTATGTTAAGCTTTTTTCCCCAAACAGGTTTACCTGTGAGGGGTTCTTACTCCTTTTAAAGGGGTGCATGCTCGGGCCGGATGATTTTGAGTTTGTCTCCGGGCTTGTGTTCCTGGCCGCATGATTTCACCCTTGTCTCCCACTTGTCTCCCACTTGTCTCCCACTTGTCTCCCACTTGTCTCCCAGTAAGCTCTGGATGCTCTCAGTGCTCTGGCCGCATGATTTCCCATTTGTCTCCCACTTGTCTCCCACTTGTCTCCCAGTAAGCTCTGGATACTCTGAGTGCTGTGGCCGCATGATTTTATACTTGTGTCCCATTTGTCTCCCACTTGTCTCCCAGTAAGCTCTGGATGCTCTGAGTGCGCTGGCCGCATGATTTTATACTTGTCTCCCATTTGTCTCCCACTTGCTCAGTGCTCTGGCCGCATGATTTTATACTTGTCTCCCATTTGTCTCCCACTTGTCTCCCAGTTGTCTCCCAGTAAGCTCTGGACGCTCTCAGTGCTCTGGCCGCATGATTTCACGCTTGTCTCCCATTTGTCTCCCATTTGTCTCCCAGTAAGCTCTGGATGCTCTGAGTGCTCTGGCCGCATGATTTCAGACTTGTCTCCCACTTGTCTCCCAGTAAGCTCTGGATGCTCTAGTGCTCTGGCCGCATGATTTCACACTTGTCTCCCACTTGTCTCCCAGTAAGCTCTGGATGCTCTGAGTGCTCTGGCCGCATGATTTCACACTTGTCTCCCACATGTCTCGACTTGGCTCCCAGTAAGCTCACTTGTCTTCCACTTGTTTCCCATGGCCTGTCTGGATGCTTTGTATCCCCGGGCTTGGCTGGATGCTGGGCCGATTAATTTTTTGATGCGCACAAGGTCGTTGCTCTGTTGTATTTCTGGTGTTTCGAGTTTGAAAGCTGCATTGGCTGCACTGGGCCGTCGATGAGTTTGCCGGCTCAGATCATGAATGACGCATGGTTTAGTGTTGCAGTTTGCCAAAGGGACAGCTCGCCATCTTGCGACATGTTATCAGACAAGCTTTGTTACTGATTGCTTTTCGCGAGTGTTGCAACATGCGGAAAGCACGAAAAGCTCCATCTCAATGGCTGCCCGTCTGGAAGTGCCAGTTTCAGAAGGAGAATCCTAAGAAGGCAGGCCGTCATGAGAGCTTGGTTTTTTGGATCCAACAACATGGATATATAGTCGATCACAGATAGATGGCATTTGGCCAGCACCTATTAAACGACCATCTAAGACGGAAAAAACCCTCCTCAGGACTCCAACGTGAACACAAACACTAAGATGGCACAGTTGCAAATGCAGTCGCACATCGTCGTTTTAATTGCTGACATTTCACGCGATTACAGCTGACAAGAAAGATATGCACATAGATGGCATATGCAGAGAAGCTTGCTAATAAGATCTTTTTTGGCTGATGTGAGAAGACGGTCTAGACTTGGAGGCCATCATTATTAGGTATGAGGCCATCACTATTGGGCTGGCGGCCATCGCTATTAGGCCAGAGGCTATCACTATTAGGTATGAGGTAATCACTATTGGGCTGGCGGCCATCGCTACTAGGCCAGAGGCCATCGCTAGTAGATTGGAGGCCACTGCTGCGGGCTGGAGGCCATCGATTAGGGTTAGAGGCCGTCGCTATTGGGTTTCAGGCCATCGCTATTGAGTTGGAGGCCATTGCTTCTAGTCTAGGTAGGCTGATGTTTGCACTGTCCTCTCTTCTGATTCCTCCTTCATTTTAGTTTGCCCTCTCTTCTTTACCCTTCTTCCCCTTCCCCCTTCCGGCCTCCCCTCTCATCACCTGGCATCCTAAGTCTCCCACCTCTCCCGGCTGTTACCTTTCCCATCTCCCATAACCATCCAGGCGCCCTTCTCCGCCTTCCTGCTTTTCTCTTCCTCTTTCCTTTGGCATTTATCCTCTACTCTGCCTCTTTCTTTCTTTTTGTCTTTCCTTGTTCTTTCCTTGCTCTGCTCTTTCCTCTCTTCT